ACGAACCTCTCACTTTCAATGTAATCCAGTGCTGTTGGAACCGATATCAGATAATTAGCCGCAAAGGCGTAAAGCTTAATATGCAAATGAGCTTAAATTGTAGCTACACTTCGCTAGCGCCTGATCTGATGGCGATTCTCAATGGGGAAGCGCGACCGACGGCTGGGCGGTGCAACTTGTTTGCAATGTGACACTGGCGGCCTTGTGTCGCTCTGTTTGTTTACCATTGGCCTGTTTGACAAGCGCGAGAGCGGCGTCACGTTCCGTGGTCGACTGTTGCTGTGACAGAAGTGGCCCCAGCAGCCGTTTGCTTAAGGCACGGTTCAGCCTTTCGCTAAACGACTTGCCGACATGGCGCCCCTTTTGGCATGCAGTCATCAGAAACGGCGATAGAATTCCTGGACATTGAAAAATTAAGGAATTCGGGGAATTTAGAAATTTAGGAATCTACTTATTGTTGGCTAGGGGGGACACTGTATCACTTGCACCAGAACTTGACGCCATTGGCTGAGCATCAAAGGTGGTTCTAACGACGCAGATTAGTGTAATTATTGTCATGTTCAAATGTAGAAGTCAGATGTAAATGATATGATGTAATACGCTGCATTGGAAACTTTCCTCTCTTAGCGTATTGTTTTGCCGTGGTGACTAGAACGCTGGTGACTTGTGCTATTTTTATCGTAGTCGGATGAGGGGGTTGCTAATTTGACTATCATACTGTACTGTCAACTATCAAGTTGGTCAAGCCTAAGTTCAACAATACGAGACCGTCATTTTGGACAGTGTGACCTTATACCTCACCAATTCTAGAATGGCCAGGCTAAAACACGATGCTAGCCCAGATGGTAGCAAACTAGACGTGCTAAGTGTTTTCGGCTGGATACGTCGAAAAGTATAGTAAATTTCATGCTGAAGGGAATTAGTGGTAAGAAAAATTTCGTTCTTTCTCAAGACTCAAACCCAGCACCTCCAAATTTTGAAGTCTACCATTCTGACGCCGTGTCCTGATTCCTGTGACATTATGTCCAATTTAGCCTCTGCTACGAGCGCACTCATATGTTGCTATCTTCCTCTGTTAGCGAACACCGTTATTTTTCATACCTTGGCCAAATGTTCCCAATTCTGCTGATGCATGTTTTCGAAAAGGAAGTGTTGACGCCTTGGTTGTTTGAGGAGTAATTTATCAATAATGAGGTTCTCCTAGGGGATTCTTGGCAGCCAAGTGTAATATCAGTTTAAAACTATTCAACGAATTCACTCTCTGTCTCCTGGATGCTTCCGATTTCATATAGCAGCCAGATTTCATCGGCCTTCATTGGGTGAATTTCCAATTGCTGAGACTTACGAATTCACAGGTCTTACCGGAAGCTTCCGTTATTTGCAGACGTTGGCATAACCCTACCTTGTAGTCATCATTTTTTAAGGTTCAAAACAAGATATGAGATGAGGGTGCATTGCTGGCTCTAGTTTATTAATCGTGATTCTCAATGATGTACGTTTGAGTCAAAATTATTACTTTGTCTTTGTTTGATTGAACTCACTTTCAGAGACGCTCATTCCTTCGACCAAAAGTTACTGTTTTTATGGAGCTTTTTTGATAACATATCGCGTGTTATGGGACATGAAAGACCCCTATCCCATCTCGAAATCTTTGCTG